TTTGCTTGATGGAGAGATTTTTGAATTAGTTGAACTAGGTTGTGAGTTGTGCATAAATTTTTGTCAACCATAAATTCTCTTCTCTTTGACTTTACCATATTGTGAGATAAATATGGGGGTGGTCAAGCCGGTGAAGGATATTATTTAGAATTGTGTTGATTCCATGCATGTTGAAAATATTTGTGTGGAGTGTCTTTTGCCAAGGATAAGCTAGGTAATGATCATATACTAGGGATCTAAGCCTCATGTGTTTTTGTTGTGCTTAAAAAAGACATTGCACTTGTTGAATCTTAGACCTCACTTTGGAGCCTTTTTTACTCGAGTTATTAAGTCCATAGGGGTATCTCGAAACCCGGTACCCTTTGGTCTAAACAACCGAGGAGTTATCGACATAAAGCTCGCTACAAGGGTCAAGAAGAAAGCTTAAGGGAGTGAGGTCAATCGTGAGTTTTCATTGAAAATTTTGATTGTTATGGTGCAATTGTAATTGATATTTGGGTTTAGATAACTAGAGGGTTTGAATTACTTAGTATAAGCTTGAATGTGGAAGCACTCATTAGTGGAGAATCATCACATATCTGGATGTTGAGATTGCAGGTTAGACCCAACTGAACTAGAGCGTGGAAAAAAATTAGTGAATTGAGAGCAACCTTTAGATTTACACCTCGGGAAATAAAAGAAATGTCTATTTTCGCGTGTGAATTTCATTAGTGGGAAATGAAATATTTAACCACAAAGGGTCGGGTTGAAGCCAATTTTGAAAAAATTTCCGCCTTGACAACTTTTTCCTAATTTAGATGATGATTGAAATTGACTTTGCATACACACACATACACTGATCGAACATTGGATAAGTTGCTAGCATTATTGGAGCATATTTGTGAATTGATTATACTATTTTACATCATCGATATTTTTGGCAATCTATTTAATGTGTTGATCTTTATCAAGTGTGCATGATTGTGTTGTAGATAATCTTATTTGGGACGAGCAAGAACTTAAGTTTGGGGTATTTGATAAGTGTATTTTTGCACACTTATTTAATACATAATTATGTTTATTATTGATTAAAAAAAAGAGCAAATTTCTATTCACAATTATGTAACTATTGCTTTTATTGGTAAAAATCACCCAAAAGAAATAGAATAGGGCAAAATGGAGGAAAAAAGGACAAAAATCGTGCAAAAATTGTGAATTTGGGGACCAAAATGAACTATGTTAGAAAGTTAGAGGACTCGTGATGAAATTTATGAAGGGTGTGATCGATATGAAAGTCAAAATTCGAGGAATAAACTGTACAAGATCAGAGTTTAGGGACCAAATGTGCAATATCTTAGGACTTTGGCTACAAAATAAAGTTGTATGTCCACTTTTAAGGCTTGATGACCATTTTAATTTTTAGTCACAAAGCTGGGGACTTAGCTACAATTTTCTAGGTTAAAACCTGCTTGTAGCAACTGTTTTGAAAAAAAAATCATTTTTTTCTTCAATTCAGCTTCTGTCGGTTTCTTCTGCGGGCTTTCTTTTTCGTTTTCTTTCTTTTTCTCTTCTTTTTTTTCTTTGATAATCTTAGTATTTTGGGTCTAGAGCACGAGGAGAATATATTCAAGAATTAGGAAAATCTTTTGGAGTATCAAGATCAAGCCATTCTCATCTTCAAGAAATCAATCAAACAAGGGTTTTATCTTTAAATCTTACATTTTCTTAATTACTTTAACTTATTTGTAATGTATTGGTATAAATAATCTACTTTCTATCATATTTATAACATAAGCTAATTTATTGTGTTGGAATTTATAGTAGAATTTAACCTAACCTTAATTTTAAGACTGCATTTTTGAATGGTGAATTAGAAAAATAAATATATATGGAACAATTTGAAGATTTTGTTGCTCCGAAAAATGAGAATAAGGTGTATAAGCTTGTAAAATCGTTGTATGGATTAAAACAAGTATAGAAGCAATGACATGAAAAATTTGACAAAGTTATGTTGTCAAATGGTTTCAAAATTAATGAATATGACAAATGTGTTACATCAAAACCATACCTAACAGATACATAATCTTATGTCTATATATTGATGATATGCTAATCATGTGAAATAATTCGAACACTATTATCTTGACCAAGAAAATGTTGATAAAACATTTTGATATGAAAGATATGAGAGTAGCTAATGTGATTTTAGGGATTAAAACTCTAAAACATGTGATTGTTTGTCATTGTCTTATTCACATTACATTAAGGCTATAATCAAAAAAATTTAAGGCATATGACGATAAACTAGTTAAAACACTTGTTGACTTAAGTTTACACTTAACCAAAAATATTGGTGATCCCGCATTATAGGCAGCTTGATGTATATTACCAACTGCACGCGTCCTGATATAGCATATGCAGTCAACAAGTTGAGTAGATTTACAAGTAATCCAAGTAATGCCATTTGGAAAGCTTTAATCCGAATTCTTAAATACTTAAAGACACACGATTAGTTATGGATTACACTACTCAATATATCTTGCAGCGTTAGAAGGATATACCGATGCAAATTGGATATCCGACACAACGGATTCAACGTCTACAAGTGGTTATGTGTTTACCATTAGAGACGGAGCTGTGTCCTGAAAATCATCTAAGCAAACTTGATAGCTCGATTCATGATGAAATCTGAGTTTATTGCTTTAGATAAAATCGGAGAAGTAGCAGAATGTTTTTGTAATTTTCTCGAAGATATTCCATATTGGGAAAAACAAATACTTGCGATTAATATACATTGTGATAATCAATAGGTAATTTCTAGGGCACAAAATAGTATGTATACTAATAAATCTCGACATATTCATCGGAGACACAATACCATTAAACATTTGATATCGAATGGTATAAACTCAATTAACTATGTTAAATCAAAGGAAAACATAGCGGATCCTTTGACGAAAGGATTAATTAGGGATCGAGTATACCATCTTTCTAGGAGAATGTGCCTAAAGATCTTGGTTCAATGGTACAACTAAATTATGAAAGATTTAGTGTAAAACACTTACTCTCATTCCTACAAACCTAAAGTGCTGGAATAAAAAGTGTTCAAAGATAAGTGTATACTTTTAATGATTTCTATATCTAGAAGTAGACAAGAGATATAGGAGATCACCTATATAAGTGTGAAGTTGGGTCTCTTCTACAAGAATTTGAGGTTTAAATTCTCTTAAAGCACTTATGAAACCAAGAGTTGTTCATGGCCAAAATGAACACAACCATGAGAACTGAAATTGTTGGATGAGTTATGATGTTGGTACAGTTGTTTTGATTTACATGAACGACTGAATGATTCAAGACATCACGTTCACCAATTAGCTCAGTAAATTCGATTATATTCAACTAAGGAATGTTCAAAATCACAAGCCACCTATCCTGATACTATAACTTGTATGTACTCATTTGTTAGAGTTTGCATATCATTTGCATTTTTGGATTGCATATTGTGGAATTTTCATTCACGTGGGGGATTGTTGGAATTTGTAAATATAAAATCATGAAAATGTGATTTACGTTTCAACTTTAATAAAATATTCGGACATGATCCGATAGTCAAATTATGAAAATAAATAGACTAACTTGTTATATTCGTTGTGTAAATTGTTGTAGTATATTCGGAATCTCCAAACCAATTTCGGGTGAATGACAAATTACGGTCTAAAATTGGAAGAAAAAGCAAAAAAATTGGCTGAAAATTTGACCAACTTCGTCGTTCGTCTAGCACTCGAGCGTGGAGGTTGTCGCTTGAGTGACGGAGTTTCTGTTTCTAATGCTTAAGCGACGCAGGGGCGATCGGCTAGCGACAGTAAATGTCGCGACCCTTGGCAAATGCTGTTTAGTTTAGAGCGTGTCACTTCACTCACAACCTTTCCTTCAATATAAATTAGATCATTGGGACGTCCATTTGTTCATCCCAATGATATACAATCATAGCATAACATTAAATTCATTATTTTCCAAGCCAAAATCCTACATAAAAACTATTTTTCCATTTTTCATTTGAGGGAGTACAAAAACCAATTTATGGTTCGTTGTTCTTGTGTTTTGAAGTGCTACTAATACATTGTAGTTGTATCTTGGAAGTCGATTGCCATCATCTGTAGGCACTATTGCGAGGCAAATTTGACTTAAGTACAAAGAGTTCAACTATTGACTCGACTTTGCATACACTTCATTTGACGTTACATTCTTTTTTCTTTGGAGTTTTCACTCATATCCTTACCGTTACTCTGTCCAATTTATGGTGTGTTTGACACCCATTTTTTGAAGATAAAAAATTTTGAAATAGTGATTGATGTGAGAATGTGTGGTGAAAAAGTTATGAAAAATTTTAGATTTGTCTGTAATATTATTTTATTGAAAGAATGTGTTGTTGAAATAAAGTAAGAGAAAAAAAGGAGAATGAGAATGAGATAGAGAATGGGGGTCAAACATGGACTTATTTTGGTAAGGATTGATAAGTTGATTTTTTGGTTTAAAGTCATCCCTCATTATATATTTTTCCAACAACAAATTCTGCCGTGACCTTTCTACTTAATATTTGCACCTGACCCAGTCACAAAACACTGAACTAACTATAGCTATGTTGCATTTATACACATAGATATCGACAGCAAGATTCACGAGAAAATTTGAAATTGTATTCCATAACTGATACTTGTATTTCACATTTTGGAAACACAGATTAGCTCAGTAACTGATATTAGGCCGTTCCACATATCCTTAAATAAAAATTACTTCTTTTCGATCATTTTAATATATGAATATTCATAAAATTTTATTTGCTATATTTTTTTACCGTCCTTTCCACAATATGTTGAGGTCGAACTCACCTTGAATGCAATAATCTATGAAAACTTCATGGAATATATTACAAAAACTAAACGTAATACAGTTGTTGTACATAAGCTTCTTATAATGTCATTTTGTCCATGTCAATCTTGTTGCAATATTAATTTTCACTATCATAGGTGGCCAATCTGTTTCTTTCTACGACCACCTGCATGAAGCAAATTGAAGAAGAAAAACTTAAAAGAAATTGCACAAGAATATCAGATTTAACAAATTAAACATCATAAAATATGCAGTCACAGCAAATATGTTGTTCTTTGACACCAAAAAAAGTGAGCTATATAACAATCAATCAACAAATACCGGCAATTTCACCTACCCACAAATATTTGCAGAATAAGTGAAGAAACAGTGTCAGTAAATTAATTATAATACAAAACATTATGATAGCTCATTACACTAAGAACTGGTAGATTTATAGTATTAATAACTGTTTATATGAATAGGCAATCAAATTGCTATAAATCCAGCTAAGAACTAGTGAACAAGCAAACAGAGATTGATTAGTTTAGTGATGAGAAGTTCATAAAAGGATAGGGCTTAAAAGTCTTGAGAGTACGCCAATTTTGGCCTATTTTCGGAATCCGATAATTCCATCAAGGGAGGAGAAGAATTCCATCAAGGTATCCTGTGTGAATGAGCTTTGAAAGCGAGGAAGAGAAAGGAACGAAGGGAGAAGAAGAATTGAAGCAAAGGAGAGAACGCTTTATCCTTGCAGGTTGAGCAAAACCACAAAACACAATCTCAAACATTTGTAATGATCACTTCATTGAAATAAGCATAACCATAAATATTTAGACTTGAAGACTCCTCCAACAGGGACTTTGAATGTGAAACTACTAATATAAAACTAACCTAAATTGCTGAGAACTCCAAATGAAACTCAAACAGCTATAATATCCTTGATGAAATCTAATCTAATGGACAAAACATACTGCACATGTTAGAATTCAAATTACCATTCATACTCAAAATACCCAAATTTACCTTTTTTGTCAGCATATGTCTTGCATCTCCAGGTGCAGCATATTTGATACAAAATTACATCCTATAGAAATGCTTTACATTTTCATGATCTAATGGGGGTTACATTTTCATAATCAACTAACAGGTAAAAGAACCAAGTTTTATGTGGTGCTGAGAGAAAAACAACTTGGACTTTTGATAGTGGATAGGTGAAAAGTTGTGGGTCCTATAAAATGTGTAGTTATAGTTTAATTATTGACTTTTGACTTAGATTTTAATTTGCTTTTTAGCTTAACCAAATAGGGACTATGTGCAATTCCTCACCCAGAAAAGATGGGATTTTCGCTAATGCGGATTCTCGAAGAAAGGAAAGCCAATTGGCTTGGTTGCTTCATTCTCAGTTCAAGTTCAAAGTTTTGTATTACTAAACTAGCCTCACTCACTTGGGCAACGACTTTTTCTTCTTAAATAGAAAGGAAGGAGGGGAAGATGTATCTCACCGACAGAAGGAAGAGAAGAAATAGAGCATCAGCAGTTCCACTCGAAACTTATAGATTAAGCTGCTCACTTTTTATAACAGAGTCTGGACTAAGGGGTCCTTTTTACCTTCTCTCGCTCCTACTATGTCCAATGGTATTAAGCCCCTGTTTGACCCCCCATTTCTTGAAACTCATTTTCAACCACACATTTCATAATAAGTGAGGTTTGGTTCCACAACTTTTATCAACTTTTTAACCACACATTTCACCCACTTCTATAAAATCTACTAAAAATTTAATTTTTATCCAAACCAAACACGGGCTAAATGTCCTAAAGTGTACAGGTAAGGATTATGAAAACATATAAGAACCGGATGTTCAGTCAGAGAATGAAGTAAAAGTAAAACAAACCAAAAAAAAAAAAGAATGTCTAGTCAGTGTATCAGAAGCTTACTGTTGGATCTCTTACTCCAGAGCACCTGACTATCAATAGAAGTGAGGTGTTCATCATCTAAATGCTTCCACGTTTTGATAAACTTGACTGTTCCCCATGCTCCTTTCTCTGTTTTCTCCAAAGATGCTACCACCATCCTTGCCCTCCTTGCCCATCCAGCTTTCCCATATGCATGATATCCAAAACCTCCAGCATAACATAGATTTATACCCGTTAACTTACCGCAGAAGTCATTGAGGTGATCATGGCCTGTGAAAGCAGCCTTCACATCCCCCGCCTCCACCATGGTCGTAAAGAAGCCAGAGTTAATAGATGCTGAACTAATGCCTTCCTGTTTCACACCTGTGAAGTTTGACGAATCAAAGCTTGCATATTCAGGCAATGGAATGTGAAAGTACACAAGCCCTGGAGCAGGAGCCTTTTGAGGCTCTGGTTTCTTCATGTAACTCCTCTGCAATTAATATATCAATGAATTAAGAAAAGAAAATCCACAACTCTTAAAGCATGTTTAGGAAGTGTTTATAAACGGTTTAAATTATAAATAGTTAAAAATGAGTGGTGAATAAGTGAGCAGTACTTATCCGCTGGATGATGAGGAAAATATCCGATATTTTCAGTGCCTTTGTAAACCAAACAATTAAAAAAACAAATTTCTACAGAAGAAAGTAATGGAAATTGCAATCAATCAATATGTGAAGAAGCCTTGGTTATGCAGCACACCATATAGGAACCGGATATAGAGAATAAGTAGAAGCGCAAAAGAAAGAGAGAGTGGGAAGGAACAAGCAGACAAGAGAACTGGAGTGATTAAAATTCAATTAAAATTGAAAATATAGTCGTTATTGGGTCCCATTCGTCTAATAAAAGTCAACAATAACGACTAATTTTTCAATTTTAATCCGATTTTAATCTCTGCCGAACACGCCCTTCATATCTCAATAATCAATTGATACAATTCAATAGTCAGTCTATATTGAAACAGCCAAGTCTAGCTTATACTTTACTATCTCTAGCAAACAAAAAAAGATACCACACTAACAAGATGAAGAATTATCTAATCTAACTTAATGACTGCGGAAAGGAAATAAATAAAATAATATAATCCTTTAATAAATCCTAATTTCTTTTTCTAAAGCAAGAGTTGATACTGACAAATCTTCAACATAACATCCATTAGAATCTCCATCATTAGGCAGTATTCCTAAGTCCTCTAGAGTGAATCATAAAGGTCCCTTTGTTTGAAGGATTTTGTAAATTAATCATAAACCAAATAAAAGTCTCGAATCAGAAATTTTTGCAGCTTAAATACCTTAAGCTTGAGCGACATTCGTTGAAACCAGAGCTGCTGCGAAGGTTTGATCCAGCCGTAGCCAGGGATGGAGGGAATTGTGGAGTAATCACCACTGTCTAGAAAGTATAGATTGAGAAGAGATTTATTAACTAAACGAGAATCTTTAACCCCGTGGACTTCCAAATTGTAATTCCCAAATCCATCGATAACGTGAGCTTCAGGAGGGTTTAACTGAGACAAAGTGTTTTTCATTTTAACAATATATTTCATCACACCTTCCCTTGATAAAGTAGATTCTTGGTCATGATTTCCCAGAACAGCAGCCCATGGTATATTTGATAACATCGCCGGGGCAAATGCAGCATTCATTGATATTTCCGGGTTAGAGGCATCAAAGCCGAAAATATTATCACCTGCAATTCAATTACACTATGTGACTGATTGTGAGAAAGATCAAATTAAGCTCAAATGAGCATCCAGATTCCCAAATTAGTGTACTCAAACAGCCATCTTGCAGATGGACCCTAATGAGTAACAAAATCAATACTAGCAGCATCTTTAAGAAGTAAGAAAGTGAAGTAATAGGGAATACGAGTTACCAGTGAAAACAATGAGGTGGGGTTTCTCGGCAAGAATGAGACGGCGAATGAAGGCAGTGGTGTTGAGATCAGAGCAGGAGGGCATCTGCTGGGGAAACACATCCTCGCAAGGAGTTTTCCTACCGTCGGCATAGTGCATATCCGCCACTTGCAGAATCCTAAACTCCCCCGTTTTCCCATCGAACCTCAGCGGTTTCCGTCGGTCTTCACACTCAACCAACCAGAAAAAAGCAAGCCAGATTATACACGAAACAATCCTTATATTTCCCATATTCTTCGCCGCCATGGAGAATTTTGAGATTTCAAAATGGTCCTTATAAGCACAGCCAAATTACGATCAGGCCCCGTGACACACACTTTGTCTTGTTCATACGGAGAACCCTTTGCCTGTGATTACTTACCATGCGGCGTACGTTTCCCAGAATTTCATTTTCCATTCCGTGACTACTGACTAATAATAAGGACAAGACCGGCTGGCTTGGCTGGTTGTCATCACTGTTTCTAGAATTTTTCAAAGGTATCTACGTGTTGTAAAAAAATTATAACCTGAGTTAGACCACGTAACATTATTCAAAAAATCATGATATTTAAAAAAATTATTTTGAAAAAATTATCTATAAATGAACGTGTAGTTTAGCTGGCTGGGCTGGTTGTCTTCACTGTTTCTAGAATTATTCAAAAAATCTTGGTATTTAAAAAAATTATTTTGAAAAAAAAAATTACTTATAAATGAACGTGTAATTTAAAATAAATTTTAGAAATATATATTTTAAAAAAACAGAGTTCAAACAAATAAATTTAAAATAAATATAGCTCAAACAAGAACTATATCTGGTTAATGGTAGCTTCACAGGGAACCTCACGTGACACAACTAATTTCGTTGAGAACTGCCACACGTACATCATGCTTGTATAACTTCCACAATTAGCTTATTATTAAGGGAAAATTTCATAATTAAGAGGTTAAATTTTATCCATTTCAAATTTAAGAGATAATGTTTAAAATTTCAAATTTTAGATTTTTTAAGGTTTAAAATTTCTAATCTCATATTTTTTTTAAAAAATTGTATTTATAAATTAATTAATTAAACATATATTTTATTAATTAAATATATTAAGGTCACAATTCCATATTTGGTCACAAATTTCATATAATTGGTCACATATTATAAATTGGTTACAAATCACAAATTTTATATGTCACAAATTATTTTATGGTCANCACAAATTATTTTGCTGTCACAATTCAAAAAATTTATAGGTCACAATTTGTTTATCGGTCACAAATAAAAAATTGAAACGTCACAAATTATTTTACGGTCACAATTCAAAAATTTTATGTCACAATTTGTTCATCGGTCATAAATGAGAAATTTTATAAGTCACAAATCAGAAATTTTATTGTTCACAATTCAAAAATTTTATAAGTCTCAATTTGTTCATCGGTCACAAATCACAAATATTATAAGTCACAACTTAGTAGATAGTCACAAATTGTCAAATTATCGGTCACAAATTAATAATTTATTAGGTCACACATTATTTTTTTGTCACAATTTATCTTATTTATTGGTCACATATTGTTTATTGATCACTGATTAACCAATTTACCAAATAATCTATAACCACCACCAACTTGTGATCGCCACCTCACCGCTTCCTCCAATAGCACCATAGCCACCAGAACCACTGCTACTACCTCTCGACCACCATTTTCAAATAGAAAACTGCAACCGCAAGATCCACCACCACTAAATCCAACAAAAATCACTGCAACCGCCAAATCCACCACCAACGTCGACAAAACAAAATCCACAACATCTACCAGATCTAACAAAACCACCACAACTTACACCACTTCCAGCATCACATCCACTAGCACCACCACATCAAAAACCATTACAAAATCTCTGTAATACTACCACAAAATTGTCATCAACAACATTAGTCCACCACCGCACAACCTCACCAATAGCCAGAATGCACCACCATCACCCCAACAAAAAACACCCGGATGCCGCGCAACGACCAACACATCATTCACTCGGGACTATTAGTTGCCGAAGGATCTAGAAGAGAAGGAAGCCAATCAGTAGCAATCTAAACATAACAAGTGTTCATCATTCCGAAACTCTTAGCCGATGAAAAAATTGTAAGACCAGAATCAGGATTTACACGTACCAAAAAAACACGCAATTCCATCAAGTTTACTTCAACCAATAGGATGTTAATGTCACTTATTGAAGGTCCAAGAGCAAATGCAGCTTTGTAAGAAATCTTAGCACGGTTCTTAGTAAGTGCATCATCCAAAATCGAAATCCCATTTCTACCATAATCATTGTCAACAAAGATGGCAACTACTTCTCTCCATCCAAAATATTGCACCAAATCAGCAATTGCATACATTTGAAAATGATCGTTTATCGTTGTACGGAGGAAGTATGGGTACTGCAGAGAAGAAAGAGTTGGATCTGTAGCCCCAAATGAAAAAAGTGGCACCTGAAGTTTATTCACGACGTGAAATAACATGGGTTATCCCAAAGGATTGTGGACCAATTGCAACCATGATCGAACGATTCAATATTGACAACAACCCGTATTTTTCCATCTGTATTTTCGCCATGGTTGCACCTGCGGTCATGGGTGAGAGATAGAGAGAGGTGAGAGAGGAGTAAGAGGTATATACAGAAAAATATAATTAGGGTTTGAAATTAAAAGTGTAGGATAGATTATTAATAATATTATAAGTTTGAATTAATATCTGATTTTTGTATAAATAAAGTTTATATCTGAAACTTGAAATTGGAACTTTAAAATTCTGATTTTGTGTAATTTTCTCTATTATTAATCTAGAAAAAATGAAAATAGAGTGGGTATGGCATAAAAGCCCAACATTGGAGAATTGGGCCCTAGTCTAGGCTTCATAGTTCAATAGGTGTTTCATTTATGGGTCAATGATTCTTACACGTTGGCTAAGCTCAAAGCAAATAGTAAATTTAAGAAGCTAAAGGGCAAAAAAAAATTAAATACTTTCTTGAGGGCAAGGTTGCCGCACTGGAATTGGGAGAGAGCTAGGCGTTGCGTGGTTATGTCGGCAAGATTACTGAAAAAAGTTCTGAAAGAACAAGAAGCTGCACTGCGGCAGCACGAGGAGGAGCTCTACAATGGGCACGAGTCCGAATCCCCCGAATCTTCAGCCCCTCCCAAAAATCCGTTCGATCTTCTCGACGATGATAACGACGACGACGTCGTCGTCAACCCCGATTCTGATCAGGTCTTTTTTTTTGTGGAAAATTGTTATGTATATCTGTGTGGATTTATATTCGAGGGTTTCTTTTCTCGCTGTTGTTGTTCTTTTATAATTGGTATCGGTGCTGTTTCTGTTGTCAACTAAGAGATCATTTCAACTTAGAGATAATATTGTTAGTAATCAAGTCCTGCTATATATTAAGTTCTTTTTGTTTGGTCTAGAATACCAGAAATATTGCATAGTTGTATAATTCTTTATTCTGCTGGAAGATCAAACTAGTAGGAATTTCATCCAACTGCTTGAAGTGTATGCGAACTCCCAACTTTTCTTGTAAGACCCTTTGAAGAAGAACATTCACTTGGCCCCCAATTTTACGTTCTGTGTTCCTCTTGTGTTGGACAGCTTCATTTTTGTACTTAGCATCATCACTAACTGGCATAACCGATGGTAGAGGAACTTGTTCAAGCATATTACCGGGAGCTCTCCAATTTTCAATTTGCAGTGGTGCCTTTCTATTGGTTTGATTGCTTATAATTTACATTTTACTAATCAAATGTCTAATGCTAACATGATCTCCCAGGCATCACCAAAGGTCTCTGACTTCTGCTTGCAATCAATTTTCTAGTATACTGTAAATGTGTATATGTGAAATATTATTACTCTGAGCCAAATGCAATAATGTTGGAGACATAATACATTTATCTTACTAAATGAAAAATAATATTTTGATTTGGTCCTAATACGGCACCTCTCTCTGAATCTAGATGCCCTTTAGTACACATAATATTCTTGGAAATGTGACTTCAGTAGTTGGCAGCCAGATCAAGATGTAACTGTAAGAGGTGGGTACTGGGGACTTCTTAATTAGAAAGAGGGAAGAAGGCTTTGCGATGCCTTCCCGGAGATTGGTTTGACCTCTGAAGATTCTATAGGATGTGAGTGGTAAAGTTCTAAGCTCCATATTGAGTATAGAAACCATCACTACTGGTTTTAAGTCCACCTGTAATGTATTACTACAACAATGCAAAATTATCTAGTGCAAATGCTAATCTATTGAATTGTAAGAATTTTTATTTACCTGTAAGAATTTTCAGTTGCTTCTAGAATTTTGAGCTATTAGATATGCTGCTTCTTTTTACTATTAGTTTATTACATGGCAACAAGAAAAAATATATAATTTCACAAAGGAGTTGTTGGTGATATGATATAGCAATTTGAAATCTGAACTGCTGTTGATATCTGTAATGGATGACTGGCTGCAGGAGAAAGACAATTCTGCCAATGAGTCTTCAATGGGAAATATTGATGGCAAGCATCCCTCTATGTTAAAAGCTACCATTCACAAAGTTTCCACATCTGATGTCAAAACGAAGAAGAAGAAAAAGAAAAAGAAGAAAATCAAGGAAGATTTGTCTGCAAGTGCCGAAAATGATGAAATATCTTCCGGTCTGATGTTAGAAAATTTGTCTTTGGGAACTAGCTCTTATGGTAATGAACGGATTACATCTTATCCTGCAAAAGACAAGTCAGCAAAAGTAAATAATTATGACATCATGGCAAAACACTGCAAATCCTCTATACTACAAATTGATCCTAAATTTCTCAGGCCAGAAAATGAGCTCCGAAGAATCTTTGGCTCTAAGGTAGTGAATTCATTTGAAAGAAGTCATCATTCTGGAAGTTCAAGCAGTACGCATGTTGGTAGACGTGGGAGTCATAACCACAGGAGGACCATTCTTGTTTCTCCATCTGAACATTGGCCCCGTTGGGGTGGATCCTTGTCCATGGAACTTATGGAAACCAAAGATGAAGTTCATTATTTCAGGTCAATTCCTCTCTTAGTTTTTTGTCTATTAGTGGATGGTAAGATTAAATAGGCTGAGAAGTAAGAACAAGTAATCTCGGGCTGTTCTTGGCTGCTGCGAAGAGTAATTAATAATAGTAAAAATATGACATAGGCAACAAACTTCTAAGCAACAACTGCAACTAAAAGGGAAAATCAGCGAACATGAGAAATTATCAGCTAGTAGCTACTAAAAGAATTTGCTTTGGCTTTAAAAAGAAAGGGAAAAACAACAAGAAAACTATACATGAAAGAAAAAACTCGGACCAATATAAACTAAAAGTATTAGGTTTGGCTTTAAAAGAGAGAAAATAAAAACACATAGCAGCAAAAAAAAATTATATAAAAGAAAAGGCAGAAGAAAGTCACATGTTGCAGTCCCTTAAAATTGGTAGCGTGTCACATATCAATAGCTGCTAAAAAACTGCAATAACATTTTTTTAGGGTCGGTGGGAGGTGCTCCTCATTTGCTAGTGTACAGTGCTTGGGCATGCATGAGCTCTCTGTTTATTCCTATTATTTTATTTTTATTTTTTCGGTTTGGAGTGTGTTTAGGAAAATCTATAAGTACCTTCTAACGGTTGTGGGGCTATGACAAAACACCAGCTTAATAAGATGAGGCCAAAGTGCACGAGACTCCAAATTGCACAAGACTAAGGAGCTCAAGTTAAGAAGTAAGCCTTCACAAGGGGGCACTTAACTCATAAGCTTTGAGCCCTTAATGAATACCTTGCACTGATGTGCACTTTAGGCACTTTTGAATATACTACCTGGCTCAAAACAAAGATATTGCATTTAGCCAATGATTAGATCAACGGGCAACCAGAGTTTACTTTTTTTGTTGGTTTGTACATTAGTGAAAGCTAACATTAAGAAATCTATATTATTGGAGCTTCTCATCACTTACACAAGGTAGAGGTATAACGACCTGGTCTCTATACCCAAGCCTTTAGTTTACGTGCTATCCGCTTTGGGTGGGCCTATGCTCACTTACGTCCTCATTGCTTTCTATCTATCATGTCCCTCAGGATTCGAACCCAAGACTTCTGTCCAATTGGGTTGCCCAATTCCTTCCAAGATTCGATGTAAATCTCTCATTAAGTGGATGTATTGTGTTTGAATCCTAAGAGACGAGATAGATGGGGGGGTGGGGGGGTGTAAGTGGGCATATGCCCACCAAAAGCGTGGCTATGGCCATTAATGCAAAATGTAACTTTTTATTGATTTTCTTGTATCCTAAGAGATGGCTTTAATTTTTGGTTCTTTTTATGTCTTTTAGATATGTACACTCATCCTCCTATGGCCAAGCTCAGAGAGCATTTGAAGCTGCCAAGGCAATACATGATCTTAATGGTATTGCGAGTATTCTATTGTACCATCCTTATCATATAGACTCACTCATCACGTTGGCGGACTACTTCAAATTTTTGGGTGAACATGAAAGGTCTTCCGATGCTATTGCAAAGTGTCTGTATGCTTTGGAATGTGCGTGGCATCCAATGTTTTCTCCTTTGTTGGGCAATTTTCAATTGAAATATGTCCATGAAACCAACAAACCATTATTCTCAGCTCTTTTCACTCACATGAAAAACATGGATAGGCGTGGGTGCCACCGATCTGCCCTTGAAGTTTGCAAGCTGTTACTTTCTCTAGATCTAGATGATCCGATGGGAGCCATTTTCTGTATTGACTACTACTCTTTGAGGGCTGAGGAGTATTTCTGGCTAGAACGCTTTTCTGAAGAATATAAAGGCGGTAATTCCCTGTGGTTATTTCCAAATTTCTCTATTTCCCTAGCTGTGAGCCGGTTTTACCTTGAAAGTCATGAAGGTTTAAAGGAGAGAAAAATGGATAATGGAAAAGCTGCTGCTTCTGATCTCATGAAGCAGGCTTTGATGCTTCACCCTTCAGTCTTAAAGAAATTGGTAGTGAAGGTTCCGTTAAAAGATCCTGCATGGAACACTATTCTCAAGCATAGTTTCTTTGGGCCTGGGCACACAGGAATTCCGTCCTTGGATCACTTGATTAATATATACGTTGAGAGGAGTTACATATTATGGAGGCTCCCTGATCTACAGAAGTTTCTTCGGGATTCTGCACTTTTGGTGATCGAGACACTGAAAGATAACGGAAGGGAAGCTCGGGATTGGGCTTGTGTAAGAAAAGAAGCTTTCTCATCAGAGAAGAATGAGTGAGTCTTCTGTTGCTCAACACTGTTTCTTATTATTGTGCTTCTGCTAATTCTTCTTTGTTCTAGGTACTCTCATTTGTTGGTGTCAGATTTCTCCGATTCCATGCCAACAATGCCACCTGATAACCTACAAAATTTTATGGTTGATCCTAGGGAAGGATTACAGAATGGGGAAGAATTGCCCAACCCACCCGACTTAACCAATCGGAATATGCTTTCAGTTTTATTAGAATCTGTGTTACCATGGATTAATTATGGAAGAGGAGACGGCGATGGTTCCCAGCATGACCACCCTGATCAAGCAGACGAACACTAGATTTTCAAACCATCTAATGCTGAAAAATAATTAGTTATTTCGTCTTTAGATGAGGGGTTAGGTTCTATGTGAAAGCTAGGTGTTACGTGACATCCCAAGCTTCGACAGCAGTCAGGTGTTTTGCTATTTATGATGTATTTTGAAGACATTATATGTTAACCGTCGAAGTTTTAATTACTTCAGCTTAAAAAACATAGATTTACTTTTCGTAGTTACACACTGTTTGGATAATTTTGTATTTATAATTAAATGTTTACGGAAATATGCACCATCTGTCCCCACATTGTACGACTTTTCACACAATCACCCCCATTCATTTTTAAGGTTTACATACATTGATTGATTTTTGGAGCGAATAGGTCCTACTACGGTACATGTTTGTAGACGCAATTTTTGAACCGTTGACGTTCAGGATGAAAAATGCAATTCCAAACCCACTAAGACAAGGAGGTCCGGTCCATTGTAGGAATATGTTGAAAGTAGCAAAAATAACAGAAAATTGAGAAATATATTTTTTAATAGCATCGATCACAAGGCAAATCTACCCTTGTTTACCTCAACATTATAATACCCTTTATAAATCTCTGTTGATATGAAAAGTTCATGCAGAACAATAGTAAGAAGTATTAAAAATGAGATTAGCCACATCTTGTGCGATGACACATCATTGTTCAAGCATAGCTAACCAAAGAGCTACAGCCACTAAATGATTATTTGGAACCTTACAATGAGCTTGTATCATACAACAAACCATGCACCAAAGAGCTTAAAACTTTTTACCAATGTTTTTAGGGCTCAATAGCTAAAAGTAGTATATACAACCTGTTACCCCCCTCGTTTCGAGGGT